TTAATAGCTTGGACTGAGGGGAGAAGGTGTAAGATGGAGAAATAACTGTAGTAAATAAAAAAGTTATGCTGCTTCACTTTGACCAGTCCCTGAAGGAAGACAAGGATCTGTTCTAAGGAGTGCAGTTTATCTATGGTAGTGCTGTAGTTGTCTATTAAATTATTCATATATGTGCCATATTTCACTTCTAACTTAGTTTTATTCACTAAAATTAATATCTACTTCAAATTTGCATCCACAATGATTGTAGTGCAATTACTTATTTCTTCTGTTACTAGCAGAGTGGCATATACTAAATATATATGTGCATGCTTTGTGTGAATGTATGTCACCTGTGTGCCACTGGCGCCCATAAACACAGAGGAGGGAGTCACATCCTCTGGAGCTGGAGTTGCAAGCTGTCACAAACTGCCTAATGTGGGTGCTGGGAATCAAACACAGGTCCTCTGGAAGAGCAGCAAGTACCCTTCACTGCTGATCATCTCTCCAGCCCTCACACTGTCTCTTTATAATTTTCTAGTTTTAGTATACTGTTTTAGCAGGATGCTTGAATTGTCTCTGAGACAGAGCCTGGTCAGGGCCATATTTCAGAACCTTCATATCTATGAAAAAGCATGGGAATTTCCTCAGGAAAAGACAAGGAGCAAAATTAACCAATAAACAGCAATGGACATTCTTGACTCTTCACTAACTTCTTTCATGAATCATCCTTTTCAACTTCATCATATTTCTGTAATCCTACCTACTCATGAGGCTGGTAGCACAGAGTTAAGAATAGAGCACATAGCCTTATGGGCTGGGGAGATGGCTCAGTTGGTGTTTGCCATGCAAGCATGAGGACCCGAGTCTGGATTCCCAGCACGTAAAAAGCCATGCATGGCAGCTCATTCCTAATTCCAGTGTTGGGAAAGCAGAGACAGGTGGAGTGCTAGAGCTACTGGCCAGCCATACTAGCTAATCAGTGAGCTCTGGGCTCAATGAGAGACCCTGTTTCAAAAAACAAGGCAGAGAGCATTGGAAGATGTCCCACATCAACCTCTGGCCTCCACAATCACAAAGCACACATGTGAATGCCCCCATATTATGCACACACCTACACATACACACCATACCCACCTCCTATTCCCCCAAAGAATACTACCCTTTTAATGTGAATAATTATGATTAGGTGATACAATTACTCTTACCTGATACATTTCTTAAATAAAAAAATATTTTCTTACACACAACATACACTGCAACAGGAGATGTGAGGGACCTTCTGGCCGACAAAGCTCCCTGATAAACACATCTACAGAGAATCTGTGGCTTAACTTTGTCTCCAAACATTTACAAAATGAGATTAAGTCAAAGAAAATTAAATTAATGATTTAATTAATGTAATTAGTTGAACAGTAATGAGGCATAATTGCTGTAAAATAAACGAAGACAAGAAAAATAATCTATGACATTATTTGTGATTTGAATTTAAAACTCTTTAAAAATAAATCTGGACTAATCCAGTTTTCCAACCTGGCATTCTGGGTTTAAATGTACTGTTTCAATGATACGTTAATGTGTAGCTGAATTTCATAAAGCATACATAGTTTTAAAGTATTTAATATTTTGAATTAAAATAGAGTAAAATGGGCTAACTTGAGAATTTATTTCATTTATAATTGCAATTCATTTGTGGGAAAAATTAATGTGTCATTAAATCTTTAGCTTGGAAAGTACAACTAGGTTTTAAAGATTTAGTTTTAGAAACTTGGGAGATAGTTCAGTGGGTAAAGTGATTGCCATACAAGCATGATGACCCGAGGTCAGATCCCCAGTACCCACATCAACTGCCAGACATACATCTGTAATCTCAGTGTTGGGGGATGTAGAGGCAGGAGGCTCCCTGGGGCTCGCTGGTCAGTCCAGGCTGGTCAAATGGGTGAGACTATGTCTCAAAAACTAAGGTGTAGAGCAATTGAGAAAGACACCTGAAGTCTACCTGTGGGCTACACATACAGAGAGAGAGAGAGAGAGAGAGAGAGAGAGAGAGAGATAGAGAGAGAGAGGGGTACATACACACATGCACACAAACATGCACACACCTACACCATGCACAAAGAATTTGCTTTTATAACAATTTATCTGAATTTCTTAAATGCGTTTCTTATATCCTGACCTATTTTTTACTTTATTATCTTGCTTTGATTTTCTTGAGATAGTAAAATTAATAGAATGGGAACTCAAAGCTTATTTTGTTTCAAATGTTAGATGGTAACAATTTAGTTTACGTGCTCATATCTGAGCAAAAGTCACTGTGGATACTGTTTGAGAGACAAATAAGGAAGACACACTCTCAGGGAGTGGAGTCTATAGAGGGAGCAAAACCAAGTTTACAAACATGAAAATATTTGCCTCTGTAGAAAGGAGATCCACGTTGTGCTTGGAATCCCGGCCCCTTCCCAGTCTAGCCCAGCCCAGCCTCATTTCTTCTTCCTGTGCTAATGCTCCTGTGCTCTTGATTCTATTGCAATTGTATTTGTTTCTCTGTCTGTTCATTCTTCTTTCCCCAGCACCTCTTTTAGGCATTTCCTAAGGTTTTTTAGAGTGGAATTATTATAATTTAATCTAAATTAGAAGTAGCATAGGTAAATTTTAGAGTCTTCAACGGATGAACGAAGAACTCTTATCCCTGATTGAGCAAACGAGCAAAGGACGTGGGCATTTCCATTTAGGATGGGCTTGGAAGAATGAGCAGGATGAGTAGCAATTGCAAAGCTGTATCGAGGAGCCACTCAAAACAAAAGGAACATTAAGAAGCAAGGTTTAAATGGGTGCACTTACTTACATGCAAGTATAACACTCATACACATAAAATAAAAATAATAAATAAAATATTTTAAAAAGGTCACAATACAAAAGAACATACTTGTAGAACACATCATAAGATTTAACTAGTCCTTATTCTACACATTAAAATTGTGTTTGGTTCTTATATGAGTAGAGGACATTACCAGTTATTCAGAATATTTAAGGTTTTATTTTTGCATATTAAATTCTTTATAAAATTTAAGAAATTTTCTGCTTTTCCTTTAGTGTTGAGGTGAAGGAGTTACATAATATGACCAACTTGTTATATAGTACTTTATATAATGTTGGAAACCACGCAATTGCCTAGCTAGGAAAAAGGCACCATCTCTGCCTTATAGCAGAGGATATAGAAGTGAAGTAAAATAACTTGACCCTATTACATAGCTAGTAAGGGATGACATGGTTTCTAATGCAGACAACTGATGATAGAGCCCCTTTTTCTTAATTAGCTCTCCCTGTGGACAAAGATGCATTGCTCTCTAATCCCAGAAGATAGAGGCCCATTTGAAACTTTGGAACAACCAGAGGGAACAGGAGATCTGGAATTTGAGGAAATCATGACTGGCTTGAGAAATAACTTGATATAAGGTTTCTCAAGTAAAGCAGAGTATCCCAAACAAAAGATAAAATGCAAATATAATAAACAGGACTTTTTAAGAGAAGAGAAACAAGTTTGAAATTCAATAATGCGGGACATGAAATATACCTTGTTCTGGAGTTAAGAAATTTATCAGGCGAACTTGATTTGACAAGGCAACACTGGAACTTACTTCTTGGTGAAGATGGCATCTATTCACTTACCATGTGACACAAGCTAACGTGTCAGGTCATCCAAGTGGTGCCAACAGTTTTCTTCCTTTTTATTTTGCATATGGGTGTGTGTGGTATGTGTTTATGTGTCCATATCTGTGGGGGTACTTTTGTCTATTTGGGTGCATGTGCATGTGTGTGGTTATGCGTGAGGAGGACAGAGTTTGACATCAGGTGTGTTCCTCAGTCACTCTTCACCTCAGGCTCTCTCAGTTGAGCCCAGAGCTTGTCACCTCACACGCACTGGGATTACAGGCAGGTAGCGTAACCCAGCCAGCTTTGTGCCGGCACTGGGAATCCGAACTCCATCCTCACACTTGAAGGATGAACACTTAACCACTGAGCAATTTCCCCAACCCTTCTTTATTTAAATAATTGTTTAAAAATGAAATTCATGGGGCTAGAGAGATGGCTCAGAGATTGAGTGCTTATTGCTCCTTCAGAGGACCCAAGCTCATTTTCCAGAACCTTCATCAGGCAGCTCACAGTCGCCTATAACTCCAGGTCTGGGGGATCTAATGCCGATGAACACTTAACCACTGAGCAATTTCCCCAACCCTTCTTTATTTAAATAATTGTTTAAAAATGAAATTCATGGGGCTAGAGAGATGGCTCAGAGATTGAGTGCTTATTGCTCCTTCAGAGGACCCAAGCTCATTTTCCAGAACCTTCATCAGGCAGCTCACAGTCGCCTATAACTCCAGGTCTGGGGGATCTAATGCCCCTGGCTTCTACACACACACACACACACACACACACACACACACACACACACACAGACACACGCATGCATGCACGCGCACACACACACGCACACACATAAACACACACACACTTATACATAATTAAAAATAATAAAAATAGTAGATATGTGGCTGGGTGTGGTGGCGCACACCTTTAATCCCAGCACTCGGGAGGCAGAGGCAGGTGGATCTTTGTGAGTTCGAGGCCAGCCTGGTCTACATAGTGAGTTCCAGGACAGCTGGGGCTACAGGGAGACCCTGTATCAAAAAGACCAAAAAAAAAAAAAAAAAAAAAAAAAGTAGATAAGGCTCAGTGATTAAGAGCACTAACTTTTTGTCAGAGGACCCGGTTCCCAGCACCCACATGAAGTCTAACAACCATCTATCTGTAACTTCAGTTCCAGAAGATCCAATGCCCTCTTCAGGCCCCTGAGGGCATTGCACAAGATGGGTGCACTTAACATACATGTAGGCAAAACACTCATAGACATAAAATAAGAATAAATGAATTTAAAAATAGTAAAAACAAATCTTTAAAGCATACAATTTATGCAGTCCTGGGCATTGACCTGTGTTTTATGTATCTTTTTTTTTTTCCAGGAAATATATTTGTGGTAAGCCTGGCTGTTGCAGACCTGGTGGTGGCTGTTTACCCATATCCCTTGGTGCTGACATCTATATTTAATAATGGATGGAATCTGGGATACCTGCACTGTCAAGTTAGTGCTTTCCTGCTGGGGTTGAGTGTCATTGGCTCAATATTCAACATCACTGGGATTGCCATTAACCGCTATTGCTACATTTGCCACAGTCTCAAGTATGACAAGCTGTACAGCAACAAGAATTCTCTCTGCCATGTGTTCCTGATCTGGATGTTGACAGTTGTAGCGATCATGCCCAATCTGCGAACTGGAACTCTCCAGTATGACCCCCGGATCTACTCCTGTACCTTCAGTCAGTCTATCAGTTCCACATACACAGTAGCAGTGGTGGTCTTTCATTTCATAGTGCCTATGATTATTGTCATCTTCTGCTACCTAAGAATATGGATCCTGGTTCTTCAGGTCAGATGGAGGGTGAAACCTGATAACAAACCCAAACTCAAGCCACAGGACTTCAGGAACTTTGTCACCATGTTTGTGGTGTTTGTACTTTTTGCCATTTGCTGGGCCCCTCTCAACTTCATCGGTCTCATTGTGGCCTCAGACCCCACCGGTATGGCTCCCAGGATCCCAGAGTGGCTGTTTGTGGCTAGCTACTATATGGCATATTTCAACAGCTGCCTCAATGCAATTATATATGGACTACTGAACCAGAATTTCAGGAAGGAATACAGGCGAATTATAGTCTCATTGTGCACAGCCAAGATGTTCTTTGTGGACAGCTCAAATGATGTAGTACATAGGATTAATTGTAAGCCCTCTCCACTAATAAACAATAATAATCCAATAAAGGTGGACTCCGTTTAAGAAGCAAAGTGTTGCTGGCAAGTTACCCCACGTTGGTCATGGACTTACTGCTTTCTGTGTCTGCTTTCTCTTGGAAAACAGCATGGCTGAGCAATGGGAATCTCTTAAGGGTTCCTCTATAGTTTCTCAGCAAATGTACTGTCTGCTTTGTGAGCAGGTCTCTAGTTCTGCTTCTCAAGGGAAATACAGAACATATAGAGCCATAAATGAACAGTGTGTTTCAGTGGACGAGGTTAAAGAAAAATGCTGAATGGATTCAAGAGAAGAGCTAATATAAAGACCTTTCTTTTATTATAAACAAGTGGCACAAAAGCAGTAAAGGTGGGCCTCCTTCTTCATGGGTGGAATTGAAATATTCAGGAAAAAATTCACCTGCCCTGAACATGGACATGTTTTTTTTTCATTAATTTTCTTTCTTTTTTAAATTTTTATTTATTATTTTTATTTTATGTGTATGAGTGTATCACCTGAATGTATGTAAGTGCACCTGTGGTGTGCAGTGCCCATGGAGGTAAGAAGAGGGCGTCAGATTCCTCTGGAACTGGAGTTACAGAGAGTTGTTAGCCGACATATGGGTGCTGGGAACTGAACCCAGGTATTCTGCAAGAGCAACTAGTGTTCTTAACCACTGTATATCTAGATAGAATTTTATTGGGGAGGTTTGCGATTGATTACCTTACAGGATTCCTCTGATGATCTTTGTATCGGGGAAATTTAAGAAACATCAAGTTAAGATGGAGGTAGATAGTGTTGTTGGGTTGTATGTGAATAAGTTTATTTATTTATTTATTTATTGTGTGTATACGTGTACTGCCCGCATGTAGGTAAGTGCGCCCATATCGTGCAATGCCCGCTGAGGACAGAAGAGGCTGTCGGATCGCCTGGAACTGGAGTTAAAGACAGTTGTTAGCTGCCATGTGGGTGCTGGGGTTCAAACCTGGGTCTTCTGCAAGAACATCCAGTGTTCTTAACCACTGAGCCATCTTTCCAGCCCCAATTTTTTTAAATTTTTTATTTTATCTCTCTCTCTCTCTCTCTCTCTCTCCCTCTTCTATACGAGGGTAAGTGGGTATGTGTTTAGGTACCTGCAGAGGCCAGAGGTGTTGGATCTTCCTGGAACTAGAGTTAAAGGCCGTTGTGAACTGCCTGATGTGGGTGCTGGGAACCAAACTTGAGTCCTCTGCAAGAGCAGCACAGGCTGTTAAACACTGAACCATCTATCTAGCCTCTATATGCACAGGTTTTATTTTCAAAATGTTACCTAAGTTTTTTTTCTGTCCAAAAGTTCTACTTTTAATCCAAATCAAATTTAAATGGTGGAAATAACATATAACTTAATATACCAAGGTCAGGAAATAGTGCCTATTTTCCACCATTGACACCATGCCTAAACAGATGAGCTAACTGGCAACTCTATACTACCTTGGTAGGCGTCACATAAAATATTGTCATCATTTGTTTAAAATGAGTTAATAGATACTACAGATTGAGGTAAATAGTTTCATTTGCCCAACTTCATGTTTCATTATGAAATATGTGTTATATGAATGTGAATAATTTACATGTATAAGCAACGGCATTTTCCAATGTATCTTCAGACTTGATTTTTCATATTCTGGGAGGAAGTTTGACAGAATAACCAATCTTAGATGTCAAATTCACAATTGCTTATTGAATAAACACACTCACAAATAATAATTTTGACTATTTTTTTTGCTTACTTCTGATGCAGTCACCAAATATTTCACTACAAATAAGAAAACACATTTGGAATGTAATAGCTACATTTTAAATCAATTTAAATGACCCAATTACTATATTTGAGAATTTCCTGATCATAATCTTTTCTGTGTGTGATATTAGGGATTTAATCTAGAGCTTTGTACATTCTAGGCAAGCTAACAGTAATTACAACCCCAGCTCTCTTTTTCCTTGTTATTTTGAGATAGGGTACCTCTAAAGTGCCCAGGTTGGATTTGAACTTACCATGAAATTCAGTCAGGCCTTGAACTTGGATCCTCCTGTGTTAGCTTCCAAGTAGTGGAAATTAGAGGCCTGCCTGCACCTTTATGACTTGTTGCATAATCTCTAAGAAGTTATTTCCTTTTAAAAAATGGCACACACCTTTAATCCCAGCACTCGGGAGGCAGAGGCAGGCAGATCTCTGTGAGTTCAAGGCCAGCCTGGTCTACATAGTGAGTTCGAGGCCAGCTGGGGCTACAAGGATACCTTGTCTCAAAAAGACCAAAAAAAAAAAATTCATGAATTTTCTTATTCAACCATACTTTTACTTTCTTCTACTTTTATGCCTATGAGTAAAGCTGCTTTGTTACAAGCAATTCATGCATAGTGAAACTGCTATGTTCTCTGCAATATTAGTACCAACTTTGCTATTGATTACAGGGGTTTGGAAAACTGTGATTGTGTGTTGGTGAAAATTTAGAGAATCAGTGCAAGTGATTTAAATTCTGGTCAATATTTATGCTGCTAATAAATGAATACTTATTTTATCAAAGGACAAAAGATTGTTTGTAAACTAAATTTTCAGATACAAGAAAAGGCCAAACAGAACAGATATTTAATCAAAAGTCTTACTATACACATATGTGTGGGGGGTAAAAATTCAGTAACAAACTAAACAATATGGCCACTAGCTTTCTAAGCTGTTGGGACTTATCCTAATAGAGTCAACTTATACTTGTCTAGCACCAGAAGGAAATGGGTTCAATTGTTCAGTCATCTTGTTTTAAAGTGCTAAGCAGAATAGTAACTATGGAGCAGCAATCAGAAAGGAAGATACAGTGACAATGATTGGAGAACCATGAGCCTCAATCACATGTACTTTTTCATTTCTGAAAGAAACATTTTAAATTAATAAAAATAACTATTTCAGAATAATGTATTTTACGGTTACAGAGTTTAACGTGAAAGAAATTGTTAAGGTATGGTTGTATGCCTGTGTGTTCGGAGTGTATGTGTCAACTAGTTAATTAATTGCTTTTTGTTTCATTTTAAACAGCTTTCTACAACTTTAAAAAGTCAAACATTAGATGTTATGCTATGCTGTTAATAATGGTGAAACAATGCAGTATTTCTAGGAAACGGTACCTATATTATGAAGACATATTTCTGTGTTCTCACTGCAGAAGTCCATTAGTAACAAGCCTGTTGAAAAACAGTTCATGGCTATCGCTTTTAGACATCAGCCACTGGACTTGTGTTTTCTCATGGCAATCAGGTGCTCTAGTTGCTGATAGAATGCTTACATTTTGGTGTTTAATGTAGGTATATCTAGTTTATTAATGTGAAATAGAGAAAATGTTTAGAATAAAATAAAATGAAGGGTTCCTTTTGTTTCAGCAATGATGTTAAACAGACCTCTAAGAACTCTTGAGATTGGTGCACGAAGGAGCTGGTGATAGTCCGTTAAGCATGGTCCTAATATTGTGAGGCTCAAAGCTTATGGTGCAAGACTGAGAATGATTTCAATGAGTTGGTTTGCACAGTAGGGAATAAATACTAGAGTTTCTTCATTAGCTGTGTGGCCATTGAGCTATAATACATGTTTACCTAAGCAATGTTCAGATGATTCACAGTAGATTACTAACTTGAATACTTGCCACTGTTTCCTTGAACTCTGTGTATAAATTTGAACAAAACCCTAGGAAGCTTGTGTTTTCTAAATATTAATTCTGTATTTCTGAAAATATAGCCATTGTATACGTGCATGTTTTTACTTTTTATTATGCATGTATCTTATCATTGCCAAAGATGAACTCTAATGGGATCTTTGCTTGTATATGTTTGTTTTGATAAACGTTACATGTGTAAGTTTGTAAAGATACACATATGTAAAGATGACTATGATTTACTGTTATTCTCAAAGTGCGGTGTGTTTTCTGTTATTTGTTAGGAAGTAAAAGTCGGTTAAGAATGGAGAGTAGATAGTTGCTTAAGCTATGTGTCTGATTGTGGACCATGAACCTGTGTTTCCGGTTTGGGCATTTTTCTCAGCATGGTTTAAATAACTGTTATATACTCAAGTCCATCAAGGGAGGAAACACAACTTAACTGAGCACTGTTTGCTCATGTACCAGACAAGCTATATTTGATTCCAAGCACAGCTTCTTTATACTATTTAAAAACGGTATTTCTTTTTCTTCCCTGAAAAGATTATTTCCTGGCCAGTAGAGTGCAGGGGATGGAACCCTTTATTTCTTGCAAACTTCAGGGGAAAAAGACAACCTACTTTCTTGATCTTTGCATGACCACATCATAAAATTATAAAATAGGAAATGTTTCCTCTGTGTTGCCCTCCTCTTTGTAGACTGGGCACTGGTTCAAGTCCATTTGGTGCGGTCTCCATGGCCTCCATGAACTCGAGGACAGGTGACTCACCACAGTTACAGTACATTTTGAGAGCTGTTCCATAGTCCCCTGGAACTTAGTTGACCTTGGAGGGCAAGGAGCAAAAACTGTCCTTTAAGGCCCTCTGACCAGATTAGTATAGGCCTCAAAGTATGGCTGTTAAACATCCAAGACAGTTATTTCTACCAGTCTGGTACTTTTTTGTCTTTTTCTTTTCTTTCTTTTTTTTTTTTTTTCAGAGCTGAGGACTGAACCCAGGGCCTTGCACTTGCTAGGCAAGCACTCTACCACTGAGCTAAGTCCCCAACCCCTAGTCTGGTGCTTTCATTTTTTAAAAATATTTTATTTGTTGTGCAATGCCACAGAGGTCAGTAGAGGGCTTCAGATTCCCCTGGAACTGGAGTTAAGGACAGTTTATAGCCACCATGTGGGTGCTTGGAATTGAACACAGGTCCCTTACAAGAGCAGTCAGTGCTCTTAACTGCTGAACCAACTCTCCATCTGGTCTGGATGCTATGTAGATAAATTACCATATGCTATGTAGATAAATTTTGGACACAAACCAAATGTTCTCAGATAAACCTTGACTAGATGTTTATTTTGTTCCTTTAACTAGTTGTATGTATAATTTG